GGATGATGATAGGTAAGTATGTCATTTGTTTCGCGACTTTTTCCGCCACTTGTTTTGAGTTGTTTCGAGTTTGGCCAAGGGACGTAACTCCCACGAAGCCCCACTAAGCCGGCCGAAGCAGTCCAGCTTACCGGCCAAATTTGCCAGTAGAGCCGTTACTTCATTACTACTTTTATTTACTAATTTTTTGGGGGGGGGGGGGGGGGGGGGGGGGGTCTAAGTGCAGACGGTCTTGAGTCACATAGGTGTTCTAGTTCTTTTCTTTTATTTCACTCCATCAAGGCAACTCAGCGATTACAAAGGGGATTCCCAGGAAAGTCCTAAAAGATGGGGGTGGAGGGTAAGGGTTTGTGTTAGTCCGGGGTTTATTCCCCACCCCCAAAACTGCTATACTATTGGATTTTACAGGGAATTTCCTATATAGCATTTTGATTTTCAACTGTTTTCCTGTTTATTGTTGTTGTTGTTGCTGTTGATACTAATGCCCTTCTTCTTCTTAGCGATCATCCGCAGGGAGCAACAGGAGATCTGGCCGACACTCAACACTCAGGGAAAAGGCAAGACAAACATACACATACAATTAGACCATTACTAATATCAATGGAACATAAACTCTGCGACTGCTGCAGAAGATGAGGGATGCAGAGCTTCCAAAAAATACTCCTCCCCCCTCCAAGTGCTATCCTGCCAGTTTATCACTCGACTGAATAGCCAGGCTACAAATATCTGCACCTTTTGGCCCAACACAGATTTCAGCAAACCCTAATTCATCACGCCTTCTTTGTTCATTCATCCATGTGATGTGCGATTGTGTTTTGTGCCCATTTACAGCAAAGCTGCAATATTTGTGCCTTTCGACCGGCATATCCGACTCCATCGAACATTCGTCGACCGGGGTAACTTTCCCGCTGATAAAATACAAGAAGATCAGAAAGAATTTTTATATCATGCTTGCGGAGAAGCGATGGGTCTACTGCCCCCCTTCCTGAGAAGCGATGGGTCTACTGCCCCTCCTTCCTGAGAAGCAATGGGTCTACTGCCCCTCCTTCCTGAGAAGCGATGGGTCTACTGCCCCCCCCCCCCCTTCCTGAGAAGCGATGGGTCTACTGCCCCCCGCCTCCTGAGAAGCAATGGGTCTACTGCCCCTCCTTCCTGAGAAGCGATGGGTCTACTGCCCCTCCTTCCTGAGAAGCAATGGGTCTACTGCCCCTCCTTCCTGAGAAGCGATGGTAGTCTACTGCCACCCCCGGTCTACTGCCCCCCCCCCCCCCTTTCCTGAGAAGCAATGGGTCTACTGCCCCTCCTTCCTGAGAAGCGATGGGTCTACTGCCCCTCCTTCCTGAGAAGCAATGGGTCTACTGCCCCTCCTTCCTGAGAAGCGATGGGTCTACTCGCCCTCCTTCCTGAGAAGCAATGGGTCTACTGCCCCTCCTTCCTGAGAAGCGATGGGTCTACTGCCCCTCCTTCCTGAGAAGCGATGGGTCTACTGCCCCTCCTTCCTGAGAAGCAATGGGTCTACTGCCCCTCCTTCCTGAGAAGCGATGGGTCTACTGCCCCTCCTTCCTGAGAAGCGATGGGTCTACTGCCCCTCCTTCCTGAGAAGCGATGGGTCTACTGCCCCCCCCCCCCCTTCCTGAGAAGCGATGGGTCTACTGCCCCCCCCCCCTTTTCCTGAGAAGCGATGGGTCTACTGCCCCCCCCCCTTCCTGAGAAGCGATGGGTCTACTGCCCCCCCCCCCCCCTTCCTGAGAAGCGATGGGTCTACTGCCCCTCCTTCCTGAGAAGAAATGGGTCTACTGCCCCCCTTCCCACCCTCCCTTTTCCACCTACCCAACAAGAAGCCCTGGAATCTAAATTGGGAAAAATACGATATAAGAAGTTTAACGGTGGCCGAGGTAGGTAGGAACCAGGAAAGTGAAAGTGTCACTCACCACTCTTTCTAGCGATGCCGTCTTCAAAAACAGCTGATACCAGGATTTTTCCTCCCAGAGGGGACCCTAAGCCCCCTTCAATATCAACTCCAAGATCTGCATTCTGAAAGATTTCAAAAACAAAATAACATGTCATTTTGTTAACTTATTCAATAATAATAATAATAATAATAAAAAGGTAACTCTTCCAATGCTGAAAAAAAAAATGTCATTTTGTTAACTCTTTCAATACTAAACATGTCATTTTTTTTTTAACTTTTCAATTCTGAACATGTTATTTTAAAACTCTTTAAATAGTAAACAAAAAACACGTCATTTTGTCAACTCTTTCAATACTAAACGAAAATAATGTCATTTTGTTAACTTCTTCAATAATTAATATACACACACACACAAATGTTATTTCGTTACTATATTACTACATTCAATACTAAACACCCCCCCCCCCCCCCCAAAAAAAAGTTACATATAATTTTTTCAATTCTTTTAATACTAAAAAAAAAAATAACATGGAATTTTGTTAACTCTTTCAATGCTAAACAACCCCAAAGATAATATCATGTTTGTATTGTCTAAAATTACTTACAGGTGTTAATAAGTAAAGTGACGGACCCTTTTCTCCACCTTCAGTCGCACTGGGCATATAGGGCTAGACCTACATTCTACAGACTAATTGACACTCTAAGGGTGATGTGGTCAGCATCACACCGGCTGCCTTTACTTCCCAGGACTTCATCATTTAAGGCTGGGCCGACCTGGGTACCAAGGTCATTTTTGAAAAAAGTCCGGCTTTATCGTGACCCAAATACATGACCTTCCGATCCACAGGCAAGTGTCTAGTCACAACAATATGGTGGTTCCCGAACAGGTGTTACATTAACCCTTTATATCTGAATTATTGTTGGGCTCTGTGGATGTGGGTTAATGAATGAGCTGAACAATTTCAAGTACTAGGGTTAGATTTCCGCTTTGAATGTCTATGTAACAACAACAATACAAAAACACCCTCACAGTTTTTGGACCGTAATACGAGAGTCGCACCTTGGAAAAGATTGGGGCCTCACCAGATCAGATTTTCAAAGACAGCAGCGGGTGCAATGTAGTCACCCTTCATTGTGGAAAAGTCTTCAATTAAATACTTTAAAAACCTGAATTCTCAGGTGAAGTACTTCTGCCTAAAATGGAGGACAGGCATGGCAGAATGTTAAGCTTTTAAGTTATTTTTGCTTCCGGCATCGCTTTGCTAATGCTGTTTCCACATATGGACGGTAGTCTATGGTTTTGCTGCCTGAGCTACTAAGTTTAGTGCTTGGTGCAGCCCTGTGAGCTGTGCTTTTCCTGTTTAATGCCTTTCATTTGTGTTTAGCTGTTGTGTTGTGGTATTCAATATGGCTGGTAACTGGTTTATATGTGAGATGGTGAAATACCATATGTAATAATTCTACATATGTATAGTAGCCAACATATCATGCCCATCTACTTCCATCAACAATCAACTGCATTTCTGGTGGCGACTGTTGGCTTTGTCCCCTCTAGCAACTGAAATTTGCATTTACTGCATGCGCATAGTTTTGGATTGCTCTGAAACTAATTGTTTGTTCACCAGTTTTTCAAATGAAACAGTGAGGACATTTCATTTGATTTTTCACTGGTACATGAACAGAGCAAGTATGGGAAAACCCGATTGCTAAGATGGTGAAACCTTGACTAAGACTAAGACTACATGTGTCAGTTCAACCCCTTCACCCCTAGTTACCAACCGCTATAAAGCTCAACACATTGGCATTGAAGGAATTAACACAACACAGGATTTAGCAAAGACAGCAATTCATTTCATTTTCTTTCCCCACAAGGGACCAGAGATATGCATTCTGCGCTGCCCTACTTGGTGGTAAATCCGTGCATGAACAGTTAGATGTTATCCACACTCTTTAGGTGGGAGTGAACAATGCGGAGAAACGCTTAGATTATCAAGGTCTGAAAAGAATGGTGCAACATGAAGTGACTAGGGGATCTTGCCGACACTCCACACTACCAGGAAAGGCAAGATGTACTTAAAATTCGACTATTAATGGTACCATCGGTTTTGGAGCTCTTCACTGGCTGCTGAAGATGGGGATGGAGCACTTATGGGAATGTCCCGAGTGCTATGATGTCAGTTCCTAACACTCAAACATGTGCATTTTTGCTTGCACAGGAAGAGAGAAACCCAACCATGGGGTGACCCATCTGCCATGAAGTTGGAACTGGGAATAATTAACTAACAATCATCCTGCAACTTCTAGGACAATAAATATTCAATACAATTAACAATGTCTACCACACAACAACACCAACCAGATCAACTTAACTCATGTTACCTTTTTGTATTTCAAACACAGGAGAGGACGACCATCAAGAATGCTGCTGCTGAACTGAAAAAGACAGAAAAGTATCAAATGAGGAAGGCAAACATTACATCAATGACATGGGTAATCTTCTTTTTCTTCTTCGTGTTCACTAGCTTTAAACTCCAGTGAAAAGTTCTGGTTGTTTGTCCACTTCTGGACATTAGTCTTGTTGCAGAACCTGAGTGTTGCATGCACATCAGTTTTACAGATGTGACTTTTTTTGTATGCAGACTGCTGGTCCCTTTCCTCTTTGACAGATGCAATTCCTCTTCGAAGGAAGCTCCCAGTTAGTCGACTCTTATATGTGCTTGTTGGGGAGGCAGTGGGTCTATTCTTGTTTCCCCCACATTGGGGCCCCAGAACCCACACGGTGATGCTGCCATGCTGGCTGCAGTAGGGATGGATCCCAGTACCACAGAACTATACAAATTGTCCTTACCATATCATAAACCTGAGCTCGGACCTTGTCGCTCCACTCAAACTCATCAGGAGGCCCAAGAAGACCTGGAGTATTGCCAGAGCCGCTGTGCAAGCGCCGTTCTGCCATCAGGGCCGCAGCTCCTCCTAGTGCAGGTCTGTGTGGAGATGGTGGGCTCCCCGTGAAGCTGCCTCGTGAAGCTACATTACCACCACTGGGTTTGAAGGGGGTAGAATGAACTTCAGCCGCAGTACTGATCACTGAGGATGCTGAAGACTTGCTGGAGTTTGTTAGGCTAGGTGGACTTTCTGTTGGGATTGGTGGAGATGTGCTGAATGCAGGAAAGGTAGAAGGAACCTTGAAAGCTGGATTTCTGCCTGTGGGTGACAAGAAATGTTAGATTTAATTTCTTGATAAACACACCACAATATCATCATATCTTCTTCTTATTCAGCATTCTTAGCTCCTGGGGTTCACATTTGGCTGATGGTTCTAGACCCACATTTGGCTGATGTTTCTAGACCCACATTTGGCTGATGTTTCTAGACCCACATTTGGCTGATGTTTCTAGACCCACATTTGGCTGATGTTTCTAGACCCACATTTGGCTGATGTTTCTAGACCCACATTTGGCTGATGTTTCTAGACCCACATTTGGCTGATGTTTTTAGACCCACATTTGGCTGATGGTTCTAGACCCACATTTGGCTGATGGTTCTAGACCCACATTTGGCTGATGGTTCTAGACCCACATTTGGCTGATGGTTGTAGACCCACATTTGGCTGATGTTTCTAGACCCACATTTGGCTGATGTTTCTAGACCCACATTTGGCTGATTGTTCAAGACCCACATTTGGCTGATGGTTCTAGACCCACATTTGGCTGATGGTTCTAGACCCACATTTGGCTGATGGTTCTAGACCCACATTTGGCTGATGGTTCTAGACCCACATTTGGCTGATGGTTCAAGACCCACATTTGGCTGATGGTTCTAGACCCACATTTGGCTGATGGTTCTAGACCCACATTTGGCTGATGGTTGTAGACCCACATTTGGCTGATGTTTCTAGACCCACATTTGGCTGATGTTTCTAGACCCACATTTGGCTGATGGTTCTAGACCCACATTTGTAATGAAGCAAATGTGACTTGATAGGTGATCTGATCAACATTACACAAGCCACATTTATTTCCCAGGACATTTTCTTCTACAAATCAAAACAGGCAACAAAAACGACGTAGAATGTCCATCACAGGTCCTCATGAAAACAACAACACAAACTGCAGTCTAAGAAAATCTAACAGCATGCATGTGCATTTAATGCATAAGGCAGCAGTCAGAAGTGCCAACACAAACTGTTTGACACCAGACTTGCAGTTTATCTTTGATGAAAGCAGCAGTTACAACATCAGTAGTTGCTCATGCAATTAACCACATAAGGCCCAAGTTCTCTGACACATACTACCAGAGACCAAGAGAGCTGAGAAAGCAGGAATGCCAACACTCACTCAACACTAATACTGAACTTTATAGGTTGACAGCAAAGAAAATGGTCTGGCCCTGTTACCAGATTGGCATCAGACAGTGCACCACAGAGAGCAATGTTATACAGGATACAACGGTAACAGATCCAGAGGTCGACCACGCAGAAAATAAACCACAGAAATGTCAGAGACACTGAAAAGTACTTTATATGTAGCAAATAGAAAGACCCGTTCCAGAGATCTCTTCCTACCCGGATGCCGTGAGGCTTTCCAGGAGCAGAGAAGAAGTTTTGCCAGGTAATTTGACACTCAACCATGCACAAGGCAAAGGTGATCTCTTGCCTGTTGGAAGAGGTAACAAGTAAAATCAAAGATTGTTAGTCAGAGGACAGTAGAAACATCAGTAGGCAGACTCTTCGTTGGCTGTTAAGAAAGGAGACAGAGCTCCCAAGGGCTTTAACTGAGTGCTGTGATGTTGAATCTTTACCGATTCCCCGATTTCTTTGCTCATTGTATACTTTTATTTATTTAAAAAACAAAAAACATTTTGCCTAAAATAATGACTCTACGAAAAATCCATATTTTCAGTGACTTGGGGTGGTGGCGATAGCACAATGGCTATCAGGCTAGCATGTCTGCTTGGTGATCATAGGTCTCAAACCCCTGGCTTTTTACAAAAACTGACAAAATCTCTTCTGCATCTTTCTTTCCTCCTCTAGTTTTTTAGGCAATAATTTCAGAAAATGAAAAAAAAAAACGTGTGTTTTCAACAAAGTCCATTTTTTAAGATTTGTACAGACTGAAGGGGTTATTAAACAATTATGATACACTGAAAATCTTAAAAACAAAACGCAGACACTTTTGTTAAACCATACCCTCTTTCTGTTGAACCAGCACTGGTGACTTTGTTAACGGTACTATATATAGGCTCATAGTCATTCAGGCCGAGCGGTGAGGCAGGCAGAGCTGTGTCCATGGTGGTGGTGCTGTGGCGAGCAGTGCTAGCAGCAGACAGGTTTGAGGACCATATCTGGATTAGCTTGGAGCTCTGACAGGAGAAACAAAGATCCTTTATCATGGGAAAATATAGTTGCGTGAAGGTGATAGCTGGATGAAAGTGACTTGCCTAAGGACGTGGATTTAAGTGAGGAAGAGTTGACGAATTCGTCGACCTCACTCTCTCGCCTGTGTCCATTTTGATCCAATGACAGGACAATGTCAAGAGGATTGGAAATGGACCTAGGTGCAGTGGATGACCAAAGCGTCTTAAGTGCCCTGCCTTGCTCAAAGCTCTCCACAGGGCCTGCTGGTAATCACCTTGTTGTCCGTTGAACCAATAAGAGGTTTCATCCGCACAATAAATCGAGTCCAGTCTTTGCATGCAGGATAAGCATATCCCTTTCACCAATTGGTTTAGAACCAGGTCGGCTACCCTCTCCGGGTTTAGGCAGCCCGCCCGAGAGGTGGCCACTGTCACATGCTGACAGCTGCTGGAAGCCACAGGAGAGAGCTGAGTTCACCAGTTGTGGTGAACTGCCCTAAGAAGGACATGAGGGTCACCTTGCCAGAGGTACTACTAGTATCTGACACCCCAAACACCCCAGTATAGGTAAAGAGCCACAGGGACACCACAAATCCATTCATAACCTGTTCACTGTTCACTATTCTCCATGTGTGGGTTCCAGGGGGGAAAAAAGAATAGACCCACTGCCTTCCCAACAAGCATGTCATAGGAGTCAACTAATTGGGAGCTTCCTTCGAAGGTTGAGTGCATCTGCCTGAGCGACAAGGAACCAACAAACTGCACACATTAAGGCAGTAAAACAGATGTACGCACAAAATTCAGGTCCTGGCACAAAGCCAAAGTCCAAATGGACAAACAACCAGGACTTTCCATAGAAGCTTACAGCCTGTGAACAGAGAAGAAATTCACTGTTCATTTTAAAGACCATATTCATCACACGTCGGACATGACCATAAGTGCTCCGATCTCCTCCTGAGTTTGTCTCCAAGTATTTTTAGGCTAATGACTCACATTCTATTTGAGTTTATGTAAAGGCTGGTGGCTCAAGCATGGCTGTCATGTCTCACAGCTCCAACTGGTACAACCAGGGTGCACAGATTATTCAGTGAAAAATCATTTTCCATAAGACTGAGAGCCTCACAGCGTTTAGTCTCTCATATAGTACTGATGATGTCTCTCCTGTCCATAGACGGCCCATTCCTGATAGTCAGGCTGCCAGCCAGGACCTCTGCTCTCTCACTGCCTTTACACCAGCATGTCCTGGGGCAAAATTTAAGGTGATTTTATGAAATGTTGTGTGGTATATCAGATAACCTGTACACCTTGGAAACAAGCAGTATTCATACAATCCAACATCTGCTGAGATAGACAGAGCATACGTGGTTATGCGCTGAGTGCAGTGGCTTGCTGGTAGGGCAACAGTGGGTACAGGAAAAGCAATGGAGCAGGCAGACGTTCTCAATGCTCTCAAGGAGGCAGGTCGAGTAGATGATTCAGAAGAGAATGATGAATTGCCAGCTTTGACAACAGTACAATGACTTCATGTCTACAAAGTTGATGCCAGACATAAACACTATGCAGGTAGCTAAAGAAGAATAGTAAACCAACACAGATTTGATGTTATCTGTCACCACACGCTTGGGGGAGACACTGAAGATGGGATCTGAGCGCTTACAGATTTGTCTGATGTGCGAAGAGGCTGATTAACTAGCTCCTTTCTTCTTCTTTTTTTTTCTTTCTTCTTTTTATTCTCCCTACCAAAGGTTTCACATACAGGCACAAAGACACAGACATAGAAAAACAAACATACAGAGAAAAAGTTAAACTAAAAGCAAGAGCAAAATACTATATACTAGCACTTACAGCAGCATGTTTGCGGATCACAATGTTCAACTGTCTGCTGCTCTTCAAAGCCAAGACCGCCTATGTGTAGAAATAAACTATATGTTAAAAAAACAAACATCTGAAGTGACATCAAGAGGAAACCCCAGGACAACGTGGATTGCTAACATGAGCCCAGTTGCCCCGAAAAAGCCAGGTATTTGACTATTCAAAACAGGCTTTTGCATGACATGGCATCTTGGGCAGTGGGCAATAAACCTATATGACAGCTTTTGTACTGGTCGCTATTTCATAGCATACAGACATAGGGGGGGGGGAGGATTAAAAGTTGTTTTGAAATGTTTTTGGGGTGATAAAATCATGTATTCCTCCACCCAATGTGATGTCAACAAAAAATTATGATATCACTCTGCTCTCTGTGCTGTGTAAACCTGAACCCCGCCCCCTCTTTTTTTTTTTTAAATTTAAATTTTTATTTTCTGCACAAAAAAAAAAAAATGTCTGTGCTCTGTTTGTGTTCAGTGAATACTTTTCTTCACTTGAATAATAATTTAAAAAATCACCTCTGCACAAAATAATGACTCTAAATATGACAAATCCACCTTTCTCCTTACTCTGGAACCTGATGATGCAATAGCTAGCAGACAGGCAAGGCTGTAGCAGCCTTGCCTGTCTGCCCCCTGGATGTTTACAAAAAATGACTAATGAATGTGTTTCAGAGAATAGTAATGAATGTGTTTCAGAGAATAGTAATGAATGTGTTTCAGAGAACAGTAATGAATGTGTTTCAGAGAACAGTAATGAATGTGTTTCAGAGAACAGTAATGAATGTGTTTCAGAGAACAGTAATGAATGTATTTCAGAGAACAGTAATGAATGTGTTTCAGAGAACAGTAATGAATGTGTTTCTGCCTTTCCTTCCCGGGCAGTTCTCAAAGTTCTAAAGAACCCATCTGAGGAGGGCAGCCATGGCTGAGCAGTGGTAGCAGGCTTGCATGGCTAGTGCACTGGTCAGAGTTCCATCCCCGTTGAGGTAAATATCTTAAAATGATGAAAAATCCAGGTCTAGCCAGCCTAAAATGAATATCAGCAAATGATGTGGGAAGTAAAAGTGGTGCTGATCTCACCACCCAGTAAGTAATATGGGGTGAGGAGGGGTGGGGGGGGGGGGGGGCAGAATATGTCAAACATTACTCAATTACAGATAAGCACAAAAACATGAGGTTCATAAAGAAGAAGAAGATGATGATGATGATGTTCCAAAGACCAATTACCATGCATTAGGTTATCACAAAAAGAAGAAAAAAGAAGACGATGATGATGAAGATGATCAGGTCCTAAAGACCAATTACTATGTATAAAATGACCAAAAGAAGACAACGATCAGGTTGCAAAGACCCTTACCCTATATTAATGGGTTATTAAAAGGCATGGATCATGTGAGGAATGAGGAGATTAGAAGAATTACTGGAACAATACCCAGCATTAAATTCCCCGAGAAACAGATTCAACTGGTTCAGAAACCTGCTGAGAATGGATCCAATGATGCCAGTAGCAAGAGCAAGGTACACGAAAATGGAAACATCAAGAGGCAGAGGGAGACCTAAAAGGTTATGGATTGAAGGAGTCACAGAAAACTTAAGGCATCACAACATCACAGGATACTCAGCAACTAAGCATGCCCTGGCTCTGCTTCCTACCAAAATCAGACTGATGTCACAATGCACATACTGACAAATGAAGAAATCAAGAAGATGAAGTCCTAGAGTTTCATTCACCCGCTTTTAGGTGACCATAAAAAAAGCTGAAGCTCCCAAACTTTCATAAGCCTCTATCAAGTGACCCCAAGAAGGAGAAAATAAAGTCCCAAAGACCAATTGAAACTTAGGAAGAGATCACTAAAAGAAGCTAATAAAATCCCAGACTCATCATCCTGTATGACCAATAACATCCCCTTGTATGACAAAAAACATCATTCTGTATGACAAAAAACATCACCCTATATGAAAAAAAAAACATCACCCTGTATGAAAAAAAACATCACCCTGTATAAAAAAAACATCACCCTGTATGACTAAAACATCCCCTGTATGACTAAATACATCACATATATTACAAAAAACATCACCCTGTATGACTAAAAACATCCCCTGTATGACAAAAAACATCACCTGTGGTATGACTAAAACATCCCCCTGTATGACAAAAAACATCATCCTGTATGACTAAATATATCACCCTGCATGACTAAAAACATCACCCTGTGGGACTAAAAACATCACCCTGTATGACTTAAAACATCACCCTGTATGATTAAAAACATTACCCTGTATGACTAAAAATATCACCCTCAATGACTAAAAACATCACCCTGTGTGACTAAAAACATCACCCTGTATGACTAAATACATCGCCCTGTATGACTAAAAACATCACCCTGTGTGACTAAAAATATCCTCCTGTATGACTAAATATATCACCCTGTATGACTAAAAACATCCTCCTGTATGACTAAATACATCACATGTATTACAAAAAACATCACCCTGTGTGACTAAAAACATCCCCTGTATGACAAAAAACATCACCTGTGTGACTAAATACATCCCCCGGTATGACTAAAACATCCCCCTGTATGACAAAAAACATCATCCTGTATGACTAAATATATCACCCTGCATGACTAAAAACATTACCCTGTGGGACTAAAAACATCACCCTGTATGACTTAAAACATCACCCTGTATGATTAAAAACATCACCCTGTATGACTAAAAACATCACCCTGTGTGACTTAAAACATCCTCCTGTATGACTAAATATATCACCCTGTATGACTAAAAACATCACCCTGTGTGACTTAAAACATCCTCCTGTATGACTAAATATATCACCCTGTATGACTAAAAACATCACCCTGTGGGACTAAAAAGATCACCCTGTATAACTTAAAATATCACCCTGTATGACTAAATACATTGTGCTGTATGACTAAAAACATCACTCTGAATGACTAAATACATCATCGTGCATGACTAAATACATCACCCTGTATGACCAAAAACTTTACCTGCTCCCAGGAAATTCTTCTAAAGTTGGTATCATTGACCTCCAGAATCTGATCACCTGGTTCCAATCCAACTTGGTCAGCAATGCTCCTTGGCCGAACTTTTTCCACAAAAATCCCAGGCTTGTTGGAGTCTTTATCCCTCAGAATGCTACAGAGAAAGCGGGAAAACTCTGTGTGAGTCTCAAGGAATGCAGCATGCAAGACTGCCTTTTTTTAAAATGAAGAACATTTTGTGCACTATATCCATTGGAGGTTAGGAAAAGAATTCTCGCATGCTAGATAGAGCCAGTTTTAAAATATGGGTGTGAACTCTAGACAATTAATAAACAAGCCGGACACTATTTTGAGGCTGTGGTGATGTGGTTTTACAGAAAAATCTTTAGAATTCCTTGGACAGCTAAGAAGAGCAACCCATATGGTTCGAAAGAGGTCAGTGCTAGAAGACAACTTATCATAAACATCAGAGAGAGGCATAATTTTTTGGTCATGTTATGAAAAGAGGGAAAACGAAACATTTGACCACTGAAAAGATCTGTGGAAAAAGAGACAGAGGAAAACAGCTTGAGAAGATTTTTGACAGTCTTTTGTCTTGGCATGGAGGGTTGTCAGGACACAAACTGATTCATGCAGTTGTGGAGATGCATGATCGCCCATGCCAGTCAACAAGGCACTTGGTGATGACCTTTATGTGACCGCACCTTTTGCATGTGTATGAATCAACAAGAATGGTATGTTTCATCAACTCAGGTGAGAAAAATATCTTAGTTAAATGTGTTATAAATAAACATGTGACATTTTTCTTAGTATCCAAATAGTTAACTCTTTTAGTACCAGAAGAAGGCTTTGAAATGGACTATTATATAGTTGTGATTAGAATTAAAACATGTATTACTTTCAAAACAGTAAGATAACAGTAATGGTGACTACTGGATAAAACAGATTTCTTCAATGTGCTCCAACCAAACAGATACAAATAAGATAAAATATTAAGCTCGGGAGGGGATAAGACAGGTACAGTGTTTCACACACCATTCATTTTTTAAGGCTTAAAGAGTTAGGATTAACTGAATTTCAGTCACGACATATGCAAGTGAATCACGGACAGTTAGCCACTACAGAAAATAAATATGTGAAATAAGCTAAATATGGTTTTACAAACTAATCCTGAAAAAATCAGATTTTTTGTTTTTTAATATCCAGAAATTATTGTTGTAAACCCTTTGACTCGGTACTATGAATATCGCAACCCTTCGGCCTTGATTCTATGACAGATACTGTAAATCTAGGAGAAATATGGCTTTTCCGCCTACCCCTAGGCATGAACCCGGACCACAAGGAGTTCGTCACCCGGTCACCGTGAAGTCAGGTTTAACTAACTACACTAGCGAGCCAGAGAGTAATAAGACTGACTTTAGTATGGCCGAGGCAAAAATGCCACCCCAGCCTAACTTCAACTTTACCCTTTTCCTCATCATTTTGAATCGTGAATAACCATTGAATATTTATGCACAAGGTAAACAGTGATATCCATAAACGTGTCTCATGAATTTATGTTTCAATAGCACTTTTTCTGAGTTTAAAACAATTTTAATGTTTGCTTTTTGCTCCAACCTGCATATGTAACGGAGCAACTCTCACCAGCTGAACAGAATGGTAAGTTATTTGTTGTCTGACAACCAGGCAGTTTTGCAATTTGGTTAAACTTTTGGATGATAAACTTTGTTTCATGGAAGGAATTTCTGTCACAGGCATAACAAAATCAGTCTCACTGTTTAATTGCCGAAGTGTGTATGCTTTTAGATGTCAGGTATAGTCAATGGCCAGACTGTGTATGCTTTTAGATGTCACGTACAGTCAATGACCGGACTGTGTATGCTTTTAGATGTCACATACAGTCAATGGCCAGACTGTGTATGCTTTTAGATGTCACGTACAGTCAATGACCGGACTGTGTATGCTTTTAGATGTCACGTACAGTCAATGGCCAGACTGTGTATGCTTTTAGATGTCACATATAGTCAATGGCCGGATTGTGTATGCTTTTAGATGTCACGTACAGTCAATGACCGGACTGTGTATGCTTTTAGATGTCACATATAGTCAATGGCCAGACTGTGTATGCTTTTAGATGTCACATACAGTCAATGGCCGGACTGTGTATGCTTTTAGATGTCAGGTATAGTCAATGGCCGGACTGTGTGTGCTTTTAGATGTCACATATAGTCAATGGCCAGACTGTGTATGCTTTTAGATGTCACATACAGTCAATGGCCGGACTGTGTATGCTTTTAGATGTCAGGTATAGTCAATGGCCGGACTGTGTATGCTTTTAGATGTCACATACAGTCAATGGCCGGACTGTGTATGCTTTTAGATGTCACGTATAGTCAATGGCCGGATTGTGTATGCTTTTAGATGTCACATACAGTCAATGGCCAGACTGTGTATGCTTTCAGATGTCACAAATAGTCAATGGCCGGACTGTGTATGCTTTTAGATGTCACGTATAGTCAATGGCCGGATTGTGTATGCTTTTAGATGTCACATATAGCCAATGGCCGGACTGTGTATGCTTTCAGATGTCACAAATAGTCAATGGCCGGACTGTGTATGCTTTCAGATGTCACAAATAGGGACTCTACAGAATAGGATTTGGTCCTTTGTGGAAGTAGTATTCTTTGTTAGTGTTAGGTTTATTATCTTCTACTTCTTCTTCAGCATTCTGAGACCTTGATGTTCATTGTTTTAGATATCACCGGCCTCCGCTCATCTCAGCAATTGGCATTCTCATTCCATTCGATGACCCCAAGTGTTTGTAGGTCTGCATTTATATTATCTCTCCTTCATCTTCTCGGTCTGCCTCGTGGTCTACTCCAATTCAACTCTTTTGTGTACACAGTTTTTTTTGTTATCTGCGAATCTTTCTGTGCGCCCCAACCAGTGTAGTCTATTTGCCACAAGATGCCAGCATTCAAACAGAAAAAGATAGTCATCATGTTTTGGTCATGTTATAAGAAGAAGAAAACTAGGACTTGTTGTGACCACTAAAAAGATCTGTGGAAAAAGAGACAGAGGAAGACAACATGGGAAGATTCGTGAAAGCCTTCTGTAATGGCATGGAGGGGTGTCAGCACACACACTGATACATAATGCTGAGAATCGCAGATTGGGGAGAGATATAATTGTACACAATAGTCAGCAATGCCATTACACTGATCACAAGTCTCATCTAAATCCGACTGGTCTAAAACTGACCACTGATAGGACGGTGTAATTAGTGGGAGCCTGAGCATCAATATTTTTAGACAGCTGCACTAGCCATGCAGATTATTCTGCACAGATTATACATTTTATTTTCACCAGAAAAATTGTTTTTTTCCATCCCCTAAGTGACGAATCGGGTTCAGTGTATGAGAGCTGGCAATCTAACCCTACGGCTAGCCACTCTTGTAAGGAGAAAAAGAAAGGCGGACTTTTAATCAATGTGCTTCTGGCACCATCAGAAGGGAAACTCATCCTTGCACACAGAAGAAGGAGATGAAGAAGTTTATTAGTGTTTCATTTATTTAGGTAGAATTTTTATTTTTCTTTACCTGCATCCAAGGGAAGCATGTCCTGTGCTGTCAATGAAAATCTTGATATCCTGTGGCCTCCTCTTCTTGTGAACACCAGCCTAGTTTGGATTTCATGTCAGTAAACATGAAGATGATAATGATGATGATAAAAGACATATTACAAGTATCTAAAATATAATAAAGATGAGGAAAATATATGACAATGATTATAGCAGATAAATAATTAAAAAAACAAAACAAAAACAATAACAAAAACAAAACAGCTAATATAGTCCAAGGGATCATTGTGGTGAGGACAGAAAATATTATGTTTGCATGACTGCTGGGGAATAATAAAGAAATGCAAATCAGATAGCAACAAATCAGATAACAGCAAATGAGATAACAAATATGAAAAACATTTCTTCTTTTTTTTTCTTAGAGTTCACTGCTTGTAAACTCTGGGAGAAAGTTCTGGTTGTTCGTCCTCTTCTGGAATGAAGTTGTGTCCTAGAACATGAATTTCTGTGCACATCTGTTTTACATTCCAGCTGACTTGTATGCAGACACTTGATTCCTCTCCTCTCAGGTAGAAGCACCCCACCTCCGAAAGGTAAACTCCTAATTTTTGTCATCTTGTATGCTTCACTTGCTGTGAGGGTGTAAATGGTTGCTGATACAAATACAGTATCTCAATGGGGATTTCATCAGCAAAACTGAAAGTGTCTTAATGGTGCAGGCATAAATGGTGACATCACCAACAAAATGACAAGCCTCAATGGTAGGACATGAGGAGTGGCTGGCCAAGTGGTTAGGTCAATAGGCTCTCATGCAGGAGATGTGTGTTCAACCCTCAGTAAGAGATTGAGAAATTTACTTTCGGGGCCAAAAATAAAAATCTTAACATGCAGAGTTTGTGGCAACTGCACAAGCCATGCAGTCTTCAATCCCCAAGCTCATGAATCCCCTGCCGTACATAGTTCTAAAAGTGGTAAATGTTGTTCTCTCGACCCTTCTCTGCCCTTCAGTGTCAAGATTTGAACAGACATTGAGTGCAAGCGATGGTATGTGCTACGTTTATGCCGATATTTATGGCCTCAGATATTCCTTCTATCTAACACTTGCATGGTCGACTTCTAGCTCTGTTTCCATTATGTCTAAGTAAGAAAAATAAAGTAAAGATCCCTTTTCAGGCCTTTAGGCGCATCGGGCATATGGGAAGAGCACCCATATTTTTACAGACCAATCGGCACTAGGTGGGTAATGTGGTCAGTATTACGATTACGCCAGCCGTCTTTACTTCCCCAGGACATACATCCTGGTACCCATTTTAGGCTGGATTGACCTGCGACGCCCCATACTATGATAAAAATCCACGCAGCCAGCAGTGGGTTTCGATCGCAGTATGTTGGAATTATGAGTCGGACTCGAAACGCCTAAGCCACGGACGCCGCATTATGTCTAAGTGATAGGGCTTTCTGTGGTGCTCTTTCTAGTTGTAGTCTTGACACATGTCTGAACCATTTGATCTGTTTTCTCTTGAAGCAGTTTAGTACTGGTTCTGTCCCAGCTTGTTTCCTGATCTCGTCCATTCTAATCTTGTCACAGTTACATCATTTAGGATTTGTCACAGTTACATCATTTACGATTTGTCACAGTTACATCATTTAGGATTTGTCACAGTTACATCATTTAGGATTTGTCACAGTTACATCATTTAGGATTTGTCAGTTACATCATTTAGTTTGTCACATTACATCATTTAGGATTTGTCACAGTTACATCATTTAGGATTTGTCACAGTTACATCATTTAGGATTTGTCACAGTTACATCATTTAGGATTTGTCACAGTTACATCATTTAGGATTTGTCACAGTTACATCATTTAGGATTTGTCACAGTTACATCATTTAGGATTTGTCACAGTTACATCATTTAGGATTTGTCACAGTTACATCATTTAGGATTTGTCACAGTTACATCATTTAGGATTTGTCACAGTTACATCATTTAGGATTTGTCACAGTTACATCATTTAGGATTTGTCACAGTTACATCATTTAGGATTTGTCACAGTTACATCATTTAGGATTTGTCACAGTTACATCATTTAGGATTTGTCACAGTTACATCATTTAGGATTTGTCACAGTTACATCATTTAGGATTTGTCACAGTTACATCATTTAGGATTTGTCACAGTTACATCATTTAGGATTTGTCACAGTTACATCATTTAGGATTTGTCACAGTTACATCATTTAGGATTTGTCACAGTTACATCATTTAGGATTTGTCACAGTTACATCATTTAGGATTTGTCACAGTTACATCATTTAGGATTTGTCACAGTTACATCATTTAGGATTTGTCACAGTTACATCATTTAGGATTTGTCACAGTTACATCATTTAGGATTTGTCACAGTTACATCATTTAGGATTTGTCACAGTTACATCATTTAGGATTTGTCACAGTTACATCATTTAGGATTTGTCACAGTTACATCATTTAGGATTTGTCACAGTTACATCATTTAGGATTTGCCACCGACATTTCATTTCTGTTGTTCCGACATTGTGTGTGTGTGATAAAAAAATGTGTTAAGGTAAGATCAAATTTATGGTCATCTCCATTTTTGCCTTTGTTTGCTTTCAAATGTCCAATTATTCATTTACATTATTTATCAATGTGTAAAATGAATAACTGGGACTAAATCAGTAATGTTTGGTCACTATAAATGTTGGGGCTAAAAACACACATAAATACATTCAGGGCTAAAATATCTTGATAATACACTGAGATAAAAATGAAGTTCAAATGAACATCATCGTCATCGGATGCTGCACTGATAAGCTTGGGCTGCCTTGTTTCTCAGTCTCACTCGATCACCAGAATCACGGATCAATACTCATGTCTCATCCATCCAAATGGTTCAGCCATCCAGGTGTTTATCTCTTTGCCTTCCCTTGCTCTTTTCAGTATCTTACCAGTCGTCACCAAGTTCTTGGGACCATTCCTTCTCACAATATGTCCACACACACACAGACTGTCTACATCCAATTTCTCCAAAAAGTGTATGGTTTTTATCTGTTTCCAGGAGTGAAGTCATGACTTTTCTTGGGAGTCCTGAAGAAATTAGTTTGCCACTGCTTTCCTTCTTGGCAGTGAATATCATGATTAGACGACTGTAGTCATGGCATATACACACCTCTTCACTGTCATCATCTAAAGAATCCACATATCGCCAAGTCACCGGACTGGTTGTCTCCCTGCAAAAGAAAAAAAATATTACAGATCTCTGGTCATGCACTTAATCTACTGTGGGCCATAAATTGGGATATCTGACTGACTGACTTTCTACCCCACCAGGACATCACACAAGTGATAAACACCCGATGACACAATGTGCCACCATGTGGGTGAGGATCTCTGTGGAGAGGTCCCAGAAACCGCGTTCAGCCTTTAGGCCATATTTATGGCCAGGCTATATTGTGGCCCCTGGCAAAGCCAGAGTAGGGCTTCAAAATAATGAAAAATTTCATCCTGAAAAGGACGGGAAGTAATTAATTTGCAAATTTTGTGTTGGGAAGGTGTTGCTGTTGAGGAGTTTCTGTACAGTATTAAAGACACGGTCAATGAATATTCACATTAATTTCAATGATTTAAATGTTAAATTTTTCTGATGAGTTAGGAGTTAAACACTGACACAGCACTCGGGACATTCCCACAAGTCCTCCGGCTCCATCTTCAGCAGCAAGTGCAAAGTTCCTATTATGATGATAGCAGTAACAGTCTGATTGTGTGTCTGTCTCACCTATCCCCTGAGTGTTGACAGTCCACTAGATCTCCTGGCCACTTTTGCTGTACCAATCTTCAGATCATGATCATCTGTGTCTCACTTCCAAAAGACCCTTACACCTAACATGGTATGCATCAATTTACCACCAAGAGGTGCAGAACCAGCAAATCTATTTACCTATTCATTCTCCAACACACTGACATCCCCTAGAAAAAAATATCCAAAGGTCTGTAATTACCATGAAGCAATGCTGGCCATTCTGCACAGAGTATACCTGTCTCCACCTTTCACAACATGCCCGGTGAGTCAGTTACAATCACGACATATACAGCTGGTTCTAAATACAGTGAGAGAGCCCAGTTTTTCCCATAACTTTAATACTGAGTTTCTTGCCATTAAAAAAAAAACCCCAAAAAAACTAAAAGGCTCTTTTCATATCACTGCTGCGGTTGGCAGTATGGTGATACACTCAAAAAACTTTTTTACAAACTCTAGGACTGACGATACAACATCAGTATTTGCCAAACAGCAAATATTATGGAGATCCATTAACATTTCACGTAAAACTAAGCTACGACTGCTAAGAGCACTAACTATTAGTACATTTAGATCTGGCTGTGAAACATGGACCTTAACAGCTGAACTTGAAAAGAAGATACATGCAATGAATGTGGTCTTTCAGAAAAGGCTGTAAGCATATCATATAGAGACCTCGTCATAAATGATGAGCTTCGTCTATAATTACCTAATACACTGCTAAACCTAAACCTCTTTTAACTACTGTAAATAGGGGGACAATGCAATATTACAGACATGTAATAAGATCTAACAGTCTCTCAAAAACAATATCCAGGACTAAGTAGAGGGGAAGAGGAAAAGAGGCAGACCAAGGAAGACCTGAATCCAGAACTTGACTAACTGGACAGGCCTTAAGCATGCAACCATGAAGTCCATCACACTTGACTGTCAAAGACGGAGGGAGCTGATCAAACAGTCAACAGTAACTGGTGACCCAATGCCAAGCAGTGTTGTGGGATGATAAAGATGAATACTAAGTTGAAAAGACCCATCCCCTTCTTTGGTGAATGAGACATCACCTGCATATGATACCACAAGAAGGATGCAAGTTTTTCAAATGTTTAAGTAACATACCTAAAGGCTTGTCTACTGGCCCGAAGGTCTTGAGTTTGAACCGGCACTGAGACTCATTTACACATTAAAAAAAATTTATCCTGAATGCCAGACCACCATGCCTAGTATCCTTATCATCATCATCATCAAGTGCCCTGCCCAGCAGCATAGGCACTCATATCTCTACACAGATCTCGTTCCTTGATATTCTGAATCAATTCCACTGATGATAGTCAATCATGCCATCGCTTCAGGCTGCCAAGCATAGTCTCTTTTGGTGAGCCTCTTCTTTTGTTGATATTTTCAGTCAACATAATGAATGAATCAAGAACTGATATCACTGATCTTGGGACATTCCCACAAATGCTCCGTCCCCTCCTTCAGGTAACCAATAAAGAGCTGACATGCTAATAGTACCAGTTGCAACATGATTAAAAGAGTGGTGTCCGCCTCAAGTGCTAGAGATCCCGGGTTCAAGCCCCAGTGAAGACTAGGATTTTTTCATGCTGACTTCTGGTAATTTCACCTGGTCTCTGGGTAGTAAGACCGGACACCCGTGTGTATTGCTGTGCACGTAAAAAATCCCTTGGCAGTTGGAAATTGAAAAGAGTAGCCTAATGGTGTTGCCCGGGCAAAATTTGGAGTTAAAGAATCTACCCAAAGTATTTCAGGATCCTCGCCGGGGCAAAAGAGTTCGTGCACTGCGCTGAGATTCTTCAGGCTCAGGCTTGAGTTAGAAGAAGAACAGAGCACTTATGGGTTACACCCGTGTGCGATGATGTTGATTCGTTATATAAACATAAACATGATTAAAAGTCTGCCTATGTTTCCCCTAACGAAAATAATGTCCACATATAAAACTGGCTGTCACCCAAAAATAACAATAAATAATGAAGAAATTTATAATGTCACAAACTTTGAATGTCTAGGCTCTATAATAAACAGCAATGGAGACTGTTCAACAGAAATTAAAAGGAGGATGGCTTTGGATATGCAAAGATTGAACAGCCTTAAAAGTCTACGGTTAAGCACCAGCAAGGAGATAAAAATTAGAATTTTGAGAGCATGCATCTTCCCTGTGGCTACATACGGATGTGAGTCGTGGACGATCTCTCAGTCCTTAAGAAAGAGAATATGGGCTTTTGAGCTGAAATGCTATAGAAAGATTCTCAGAATATCTTGGACAAAGAAGATGGGAAATATTGACATCTTAAAAGATCTGAACATCAAGGAAGATTGGCTAATAAACAGCATCCTTTCTCGGAAGCTGAAATATTTTGGTCATATCAAGCGCCACAACGGATTGGAAAAAACTATAGCAGAAGGCATGGTACCAGGAAGGAAGGGCAGGGGCCGACCGACACGAAGATGGGCACAGGATATAAGTGACTCCTTGAGTATGAAAGTATATGATGCAGGAGAACTGGCGAGAGGCCGAGTTTCTTTCAGGCAGACTGTGATGAGAGCGACATTCTGCAAAGGACCTGCTACATGATGATGATGATATTTCCCCTTCAATGTTGAATATCTTCCAGAACATCTACTTATATCCCATTGAATTAGTCCTTCATTGTATGGATTCCCTATCTGTTCTGCTGCACTTACCATTTGATCCCATAGAGCAGTGTTTCCCAAAATTTGTGTTAGTCACAGCGCCTTTTTTCAATTGAAATTTTTTCGCGGTGGCCTAACTTAAGTAAAAGTAAGACTATTTGTATGTAAGAGATAAAAAAAAATTAAACTTGTGTATCTTTGAATATTTCCGGGATGCCGTGGCGAACAGTTTGGAAATCACTGCCACAATGTTCTCCAATGCCTCAGTCATGCTAATTTGTCTACAGAACTATGAATCTAGCACAATATATGCTACGGACCATTGGTGTGAAAAAAGGGCACTGAACTTGTCCTTACTTATTTAGCACACTTGTCTTCTCTACTTACTGTTTGACTGGCAGCATTCCAATATCTGAGGAACACATTAATATAAAATATGAAAGTCAATCATATGGCAGACATTGTTATAGAGTGATTTATTGACACACAAAAACTCACTACCCATGAGGTTTAAGAAAGGCTGTGAACAAAATCAGAAGAGGCTGCATGACAAATAAAGAAATGAGAACTATCAGAACAATAGCGGCAAATCAGTAAGAATGAATCCAATGATCATGGTGTTGTGAGGTTAGGTGACCAGTTCCCTTCTTTGCTTATTTTATTTCACAAAGAAAAACCTGGTACTTATCTGATGGAGCTGTAGATCCAAAACAGATCCTTTAATCTGGACGGCTTTGCTAGTCGACTAAATTAGTGTTCAAAACTCCAAAAGAGTTTTCGTAATGTGAATAAATGGGAATAAATCAAGTGGGGGAAAAATAGATTATGTGTGCATAAATGGGATTTGTGTGATGTGACTAAATGGAATCATTGGCACAAAAATTGAATGATCTGAAACAGATCATATGACGTAATATATAAATAAATTATGTTGTGAATAAATGAGATGCAACAGTGTAGGTAAATAGAATAAAATTATATGAATCCATGGAAGTTTATGATGTGCATAAATGGGATTATATGATGTGCATATATGAGAGTGCATGATGTGTATAAATAGGACTGTATGATGTGCAGAAATGGGATTGTATGAAGTGCACAGATGGGATTGTATGCATAAATGGGATTGCATGATGTGAATAAATGGAGAAATATGATGTGCATAAATGGGATTGTATGATGTGTATAAATGCGACCGCATGATGTGTATAAATACTAGATCTTTCTATTATCTCAGGAATTGGTCATCGATTCCCATTTTGTTTTCCTTTCCGAAATCACCTTCTAAATATTTTCCTTATCTTTATGAGGTGGTACTTCTTTTTCTTCTGCTTTTCTTCCCTCAGTTACCTCATCAAAGTTTTAGGCAGAGATGTTAGGCTTTTCTGTGTGGTCTTTTTAATGTTATGGCTTCATTTTTTAAAAGGCTGTTCTTGATATCACTGTTCCATCCTATGTCTGGTCTTCCTCTTGCAGTTGGTCCTTCAACTCTGGAAAACTTTGAAAGCAAGTGTGCAGCACAGTACTACTTATATGTGAGAACTACTTACATGTGAGAACTAATTACATGTGAAAACTACTTACATGTGAGAACTATCTACATGTGAGAACTACCTACATGTGAGAACTACTTACATGTGAGAACTACTTGCATGTGAGAACAACTTACATGTGAGAACAACTTGCACGTGAGAACTACTTGCATGTGAGAACTACTTGCATGTGAGAAATACTTGCATGTGAGAACTACTTGCATGTGAAAACTACTTGCATGTGAGAACTACTTGCATGTGAGAACTACTTATATGTGAGAACTACTTGCATGTGAGAACTATTTGCATGTGAGAACTACTTGCATGTGATAACTACTTGCATGTGAGAACTACTTACAAGTGAGAACTACTTACAAGTGAGAACTACTTGCATGTGAGAACTACTTACAAGTGAGAACTACTTACATGTGAGAACTACTTGCATGTGAGAACAACTTGCATGTGAGAACTACTTACATGTGAGAACTACTTACATGTGAAAACTACTTGAATGTGTGAACTACTTGCATGTGAGAACTACTTACATATGAGAACTACTTACATGTGACCTTCAGCAGAATCTCATCCCTGGATCTGATGAGGTTCAGGACATCATCGTGTATGGCCTCAGCAATGGTGAATCCATTGACTCTGACAACTTCATCTCCAACCTGTTGCAGAAACAAAGCAATCCTCCTGTACGTTAAGATGTAGAATCCACTCTTTGTATTCTGGTGGGAGTGATTAAGCACTTGAGGGTACAACCTAAGTGCGGTACATCACTTTTTATCATATAACCTTTCTTCTAAATTTATCCCCCACAGGAGCATAGGCCCTCAACCAACTCAGGCTAAGTCATCCTAGCCTTTGCTATCACATGCAGCTCACTGTATATTCTCCCCATTTTTTCAACTTCATACCATAATTATAACTAGGGTTTGTTATGATGTATTACTTGATACTTGCAGGTAAAGCTACTGTGGAGGGCGGATAAGCCATGGACCACGCTTATATCCTGAATGCTTTACGAGAAGTGAAAGATGCTTGCAAGAACCAAGTGAGGACTGTGAATCTGCAACCATGACCAGACTGCAAGAACAACATGTTAAAAGGGGTGTGGCTAGACAAGAGCACTATGCAAAAAGCCACGGAAAAATAAGAAACCAACACAGAACTGGTGATGTGAGCGGCTACACGCTGCGGGATTCACCAAGGAGGGGGGATCCAAGCACTTATGGACTGAATTGATGTGCAATAAGGATAATCTGTTGACTAACTAAATAACTAACTAATTAACTAAACTAGCTTGATAAAAGCTTTCCCTGAACTATTTGGCATTGATCCTGATGCATGATAAGTAAATGCAGCTGACTCTTCAACCTGATATTAATTTCTTCATTGGCAAGTCCATCTTCTTATAGTCCTCTATCTGCCTCCTGGTGTTTCCAGTATCATGATGTACCTTTCTGCTGCAGGGAACCACCATGGTGTAGCAACTAGATGCTTACCTGCAGATCAGAAGGTTGTGGGTTTGAGTCTGAATTGAACCCGACTATTTTCAAAAATGACCATGGCTCCCAGGTCATGCATGTAAGACGGAGAAAACAGCAGCAACAGTTTTTTCGAAGACAAATCAGAATAGAACTGTGAGCTGAATTCCTGAGAGCTGCAAATAAGTCTCCTGTCTACTTTGTGGAAGAACATTATGTGTCAAAAATGGCCTTAGCAGTCGCAAACATACTCATAAACCCCATTCAAATTAGTCAGAAAAAAAACTCGCTTTAGCAATGCAGAAGCTATACAGCATGAAGAACCTTGGGCACAGCACCTGCAAGCAAGCTGAAGTAACAATTTTGAGATCTTGCATCTTTTCGGTGACAACTTATGACTGTGAGTCATGAACCCCTTACTCAATCACTGAAGAAAATCATGGAGCTTCTAAACTGAAATGCAATAGAAATTTGTTAGAGTTCCTGGACCAAGAAGAATAAAAATATCAATATTCTACATGATTTGAACATCAAGGACAATTGGCTTATCAACAGCATCCTGTCCCAAAAGCTGAGGAAAGTTGGCCTTGTTAAACATCATGGTGGCTTGGAGAAAACGCTGATGGAGGATGCAGTTTTGATACAAGACACTGGCTATTGAAATAGATAGCGCTGAAAAAGAACAACTTTCAGCCATGCTGTGAACATAACGAAGTTCTGTAAAGATTCAAATTAATGATGACTTAGCAGATAAAGGGAATAATCATAAATTGTAATGGAAGAAGAACACTAACTTGATGGACAATGACCCATCTTTTGTGAAATGTGATAATCCATCTTTTGTGAAATGTGATAATTCTGCACAGAAAAACTGAGCCAGATGACATAAATTCTAGTGCAATGAAGACCGCTCTCTTATCTTTATTCATCGTTTTTGTTTTTTTAAAAAATAAAGTCTGCCCCTTCTCCTGCTACCTTTCCAGTTAAAGTGTTCGAGAAAATCTTTAACTGTCACATAGTCGCTTATAATTTCTTCTCTTCCTCTACTGTATTAGCCCTTAGAAGGATGGCTGGTGCCTTGTGTTGTGGTTTACAGCTTAGCTGCAATATTTGCATCTTTTAGCCCAAAACACTTGATTTTAGCGAATGTTAATTAGCCGCCTTTTAGGCAAGCAAGTGTTAAGGAGAAGTGGATTCCCCTCCCCCCAACCTTCCCACCTCCCAAATAGGGCTCCAGATCCCATACCGTGTCAATTATCATTTAAATACATAAGCTGCATGCATACTCTTAGTCCTTGTCTGTCCGCCTGAGATCCCGGTGTGACGTCTGTAACAAAGATCCCCACTCCATGCTCAAACCCTGTGTAAAAACAATAAAGAAACAATTTAAACATATTAAAAAAGAAAAAAAAAATGTTATGAATATCTCAGTTCTTCTAGCCCCAAGTAATGCATCACCTTCTTCTTTTTTTTCACAGGCTGTAAGGTGAAGCGGAAAGCCCTGGTTGCTCTGCATTTCTTCACGTATGCTTTTAAGACACACAGAGGTTAATGGTCATTTGTGTCAGGGCCTGAGTTTTATCCTGTACATCCATTTTACAGGCTTATTTGTTTACAGCCAATTGTACCTTGCCGCTTGGGCAGATGCACTATGACTTCAAAGGAAGCTTCCAATTAGTCGACTCCTACAACACGCTTCTTGGGAAGGCAGAGGGTCTATTGTAGTGATCCCCACAATGAGGCTCAGAACCCACATGGGGAAACCAATGCATGTAAGTAATTTTTTTATTTAAAAATTCAGAGGCAAAAGAGTTGTTTTTTTAAGGACTTCCAGCCAAAACAGAAGATACCTGGCTGACCGCTGGTGCTATAAATTATTTTTTTTTGCTGCTACATTTTGCTAATGCAAATTCCCCACTTCTGGACTAGAGTCCAAAGATTCCATCACTCAGATAATGGGCTGAGCGTTTGGAGTAGGAATGTGAGCTCTAAATGTTATGTAAAAGATTTTTCAATGTTGTGCGATGACATGCTAATGACCGCACTAAAATTCTGGATGGCAGATAATGCTCAGAATGGTGTGTAATTTTGCAGGCATATTGCTGGCTTTTGTGACTGACCATCTGCACCAAAAATAAGCTACAATTCTGGTGTGGGACCGCCAGTGTTGGCACATCTGACAGCTACCTTTTGCATTTTTACCTTGTGTGTGCAAGTTCCAAAATTTTGTTAAGTCTGACAAGTTTTTACTCTAGTTTATACATGAATCAAGGAAGAACATTTTATGTGATTTCACTGTCACAGGAACGGAGCTGTTATGGGGAGACCCATTTTCAGTGATGTTATAACTTCGACTAACTAACTAAAGTTTTAAATGATTACACGGACCTCCTCTCACAGCAAAGCCGAGGCCTTCTCCGTGATGGCGCTGCAGACGAACTGACCTCAGCTTAACCCCAGGGGCAGTTGGTGTCTTCCTGCTGTACTCAATCTGATGCTGCAGTAGAATCAGCGGTCTGCAAAAGTGGATTGACATGTGGACCACATCATGACAAACAGGATAATAAACTTTACAAACAGGATAATAAACTTCACAAGCAGGATAATAAACTTCACAAGCAGGATAATAAACTGCACAAACAGGATAATAAACTTCACAACCAGGATAATAAACTTCACAAGCAGGATATAAACGTCACAATCAGGATAATAAACTTCACAAACTGGATAATAAACTTCACAAATAGGGTAATAAACTTCACAACCAATATAATAAACTTCACAAGCAGGATAATAAACTTCACAAGCAGGATAATAAACTTCACAACCAGGATAATAAACTTCACAAAAAAGGATAATAAACTTCACAACCAATATAATAAACTTCACAACCAGGATAATAAACTTCACAACCAGGATAATAAACTTCACAACCAGGATAATAAACTTCACAACCAGGATAATAAACTTTACAAATAGCATAATAAACACATCTATTTGATTTACTGGAAGCTGCCTTGGTGTAGCATATCAACTTGCTTGAGGTTTGTCCCATTTACTTTGATGTTGCATAACAAATTTTTTATTTTTATTTTGTAATTACCAGTACTTCTGTTTTTCTACTGTTCAAACTAAGACCTTTGTTTTCACTTTCTATTACAATTGTATCCATCAATTCTTGCAATTGTTTTTCATTTTCGCGCGATCAAAACTATATCCTCAGTTGATCGCAGGTTGTTAGCAATATGCCCACCAACCGATATTCTTGGCATACCATGTACGGATCTGATTATTATTTCACTGTGCAAATTAAATAAATTCAGTGGCAGTACACATCCCTGTCTAATGCCTTGTTTAATGTTTTGAAAAGTACCTTATGGCTGCTTCTTGTTGCCAGTATGTTTTTTTTAATTATTCTTAGATCTTTACCATCAATGTTTATTTTTTCCAGAATTCTAATAATTTTTTTCAGGTTTCACTTTATCAAATGCTTTAGTGTAATCAATAAAGCACAAATACAGATCTCGGTTTATTTCTTTATTTCAATCATTCTTTCTGACAGTGTTCTCAAGATAAATATGGCATTGTTTGTGCCTTTACCTTCAACAAAACCACACTGCTCTTCTCCAATTTCTGGTTTCATGTTGCACCCTATTCTTCTCATGATAATTTGCATTATTATTTTAGTTACATGACTCATTAAACGTAACATTCTACACATGTGTTCTCTACATTCTACTGCACTAGGTGTTTTTAGTAAAGGTATGTAAAGAGATTTTAAAAGGTCATCAGGTACATGTCCACTGTTATAAATACCATTGAATAATTTTGTCAATTAAAGCATCTTCTACTTCCGCTTTCAGTATTGGTGGCCCTTGCCAATACTCCTGACTCTCTATGTCTGGTTTGCTGTTATCACTGTTTAACTCTTTTATATACTCTGTCCATTTTTCAATTACCTTCTCTTTGTCCATTATTAAGTCACCTTCTTTTGTTTTTCAAGTAACCACTTGCTGTATATTTTACAAAAATGTGATAGTTTGTGTACTCTTGTATACATATCTTGTATGTTCTCTCTTTGTTCTTCAATTTCTTTGCACCTATTATTTAGCTAAACTTCTTTCGTTGCATTACATTTACGTAAAATCTCTCTATGTATTTTTTTATGTTCATCTTGGTTGTGTTAATTTTCTCTTCTAATTTCCATCAGATGTAAAATTTCCTCTGTCATTCATTTTTTCCTTCGCTGTCTTCTTCAAATCTGGTAATATTTCTTTACATCCCTTTATATAGCTTTATATATTTTGGAAGAAAAACATTTTCAAATGTTAAGAAATAAATTTGAATGAATTTATTAGTTTTTATAAGGTTTTTCTGGATTTCCAAAGGGGCCATAACCATTTTTTAAATAGTGTTCCTGGTGCCAGAGGGTTAAATGCACATTCTATATATGTATATCACTCCAACTGTCATTTTGTAACAAAATGGTTTTAGGGGGAGAGAGAGAGAAAAAAAACTAGAAGAGGAGAATAAAATAAGTTATGGTTCCTTTTTCCATGTATTATGTGTTTAAACCTTTGATGATCAGGTAATATTCAGTGGCAGTATAAAAGAATTTCAGTAGTGGTATAGCAGTACATCAACAACAACAACCAACAATGGTAAAACACCATAACAGTTTTGTCTAACAAACTAACTATGCAGGCATTACCAGTTCCAGTTATTTTCCTCAGTACCTCCCATATTTAGCTTATTCAAATAAAGTAAAATGTATACAGCGCTTTTCGTGCCCGAGGCACACCAGGTAGATGGTATGAGCCTCGTGCCAGCCACCTTTACTTCCTAGCTATTTTTCTTGGGCGCTCTTTCAGACTGGGTCGAGCTGGGAGCCTAAGTCAATTGTTTTCTGACATCAGTAAGTGTTTGCGTACCTCATGTAGTCATACAACTCCAGTTTACTGGGCTCGTTGAGCAGCAGACGCAAGTCAGCCAGCAGTTGGTAAAGGTCTTGGTTTCTGTAGACGTATAATGTTACATTCTGATTATTCCTGTGTTACATTATCCCTGTGTTACATTATCCCTGTGTTACATTATCCCTGTGTTACATCTGGAACCCAATTTTAAGGTTAAAAAAAAAATAGTCTCACTACCTCCCTAACAGGCTGAGTTTCCTTCAAATTCAGAATGCACCTGCCTGAGAGGTGAGGAACCAACAGTCTGTATGCAAATAAACCAGATCTGTAAAACGGATGTGCATGCAAAGTTCAAGTTCTGGAACAAGACACTGGATGAACAGCCGGAATTTTCTGTCGGAGCTTACAGCCGGTGAATGCTAAGAATCTATTCTAATTACAACTGTAGCAACAGATGAAAATAATGTAAGACTAATTCATTATGTATGGAGCAGCCGTGGTCTAGGGGCTAGACGCTCGACTGCCGACTGGAAGGTCATGGGTTCAATTCCTGACAGGGGCCGGACTTTAAACAAAAATGACCTTGGCTCTCAGGTCGACCCAGCCTTGAATGGGCGCCAGGTAAGTCCTGGGAAGTAAAGGCGGCCGGCAAGATGCTGACCAAATCACTCATGAAGTGCTGTTTCGTCTATAAAATATAGGTCTAGCCCTATATACCCAATACACCTGAAAGGCGTGGAAAAGAGTCCTTTACTTTTTACCCTGCTGATACTTAGTGTAATATTTTAATTACTTCTGCATTTTCACTTTCTCCAGTTACTTCATACAAAGTGTCGGGTGAAATGCAAGAATCTTCTGTGTGCTTTTCCAATGTGTTGTAAAGTTTGTCTTCATTTTGTTTAGGCTGATTTTGATGCCATCCTTCCACATTCTGCCTGGTCTTCTCCTTGCTCTCTGTCCATTATATCTCTTCAGCATGGCTCTCAGTAGCAGGTGGTAACAAGGCATTCTCGTCAGATGACCAAACCATCTCCCCTGTTGCTCTGTAATAAACTGTATGACTGGTTTCAGGCCAAGTCTTTTTCTAATTTCGTCATTTTTAACTTTATCTCATCTCGTTACTCCAGCAGCACTTTTGAGATGTCTCATCTTTGTTATGATTTTGTGTTCATTAGTTTTAGTAAGGGTCCAAGTTTTCCAGTGGTAGCGTAAAGTTGGCCTAATAATAGTTCTTATCAGATCTGCTTTATAGACAATGGTACAGTTTACTTTCTACTGTCAAAACTGGTGTCAGTTGTTCCAAGTACCTGGTTTGCTTTAGCAAACTGTATGTTGACTTCACTATCCATTCTTCTGTCTGATGTGAAAACTGACCCTAGATATTTAAACTGTAATTTTAATTAAAACGGTAGGAATGATATACTGTTCTTTGGCCACATAATGAGAATAGAGATATTGAAGAACACCGTGACAACTGGAAAGATCAGTGGGAAAAGGGGTCAAGGCAGACTAAGAGAGATGATGCTGGATGGGCTAAAACGATGGCATGGAGGGACATCATCAAGAGAGCTGTTCCAGGCAACCAGGGATGAGCACCTATGCCAGTTGGCAGGGCACATGATGATGATGAGCAATGATATTCATGTGTTAAGTAGAGAGGAATTAAAGAACACTCCAAAAACAGGAAAGATCGAAAGAATAAATAAACAAACACACCCATTTTACTTTTAAAGGGTTGAGTATTATTTGCTTCTTGTTGTCATTCAGGATATCCCAGCACATTAGTCTGACCCATTTGTGCTCCGCCCGCCAATGCAGCAATCATCTCAGTGTCTCCATGCTTATTGTACCCAGCAGAAGTTGACTTGCACGTCTTTTTTTATTACCCCCACGGCCTAGTTTCTACATGTTTGACCTCGCTTAATACCAATTTCCAACAAGAAGTTCATCGTCTTTGATTCCTGTCTCAACGTCTCTGAAACGCAATGCAATGTACATTCCTCTATTTCACTTTATCAGGTGCAAGCCTTTCATTACCATAGGTGGAATGCCTTCCAAACATTCCAAAAACTTAATTTAATTTTTAGCCAAGTAGTCTGGCTACTGACTTCAGGAGAGTTTTTTGTTTTTTTTTAAATCACACATGTCACACAAGGCAAGTAAGGAGGGTTGGCATGCAACTAACTATCTTAAAACTTTGACTGCAAAACCAGACTTCTATTTCTTAAAGTCCATGCCGTGTGCCGTTGGTAGTCATGTATGTCCACAACCTTTTTCCTTGTGTACTTTCAATCAACTCTGACACAGATACTCCATGCCATAATTATCAAACTGTCCAGTATTTTTTGCAATTTCATTGTATGTGACATTGTTCAAATACAATTGCACATTTCAACCGAAGTCTACATCACTTGACTCCTGAGTGGGAGCTGGTGTCTATGAATCTTCTGCTGCTTACTAATAAATATTCATTCAGTCTTTTTATGCATGTTTTTTTTTGTTTTCCTTTCCCATTAGTTTGAGCTTCTTAGACGGACAAGGCCTGTAAGTAAAGGACCCTTTTCCATGCCATCAGGTGCATTGGGCATATAGTGCAAGACCTATATTTTATAGACCAGGCTTCGCTCGGGAGGTGAAGGCACGGTTTGTGTTCAGTGCTTTCATTTCCAATTTTACACTAGTTTAGAAAAGATACCTTGGACAAGGAATAGGAAACATCTGACTGACATCTTGAAAGATATGAACATCAAGGAAGAATGGCTAATAAACAGCATCCTGTCTCAGAAGCTGAAATATTTTGGTCATATCAAGCGTCATGATGGATTTGAAAAAAAATTACAGCAGAAGGCATGGTAACAGGAAGGAAGAACAGGGGCCGACCGACGCGAAGATGGGCACAGTATATAAGTGACTCCTTGAGTATGAAAGTACATAAGACGGGAGAGCTGGTGAGAGACCGAGTTTCTTTCAGGCAGACCGTGATGAGAGTGACTTTCTGCAAAGGACCTGCTAGATGATGATGATTACATACTGGCATGATTTGAATGACATTCTATGCTCTGTTGGGAGATAAAAAGCAGAAGAAGAACACTTACGATTGATACAGCTTCAGAGAACTAAACAGTTGTTCCCTGTCTGCATCACTAGCGATGAGTTCCTTGACCTGGTTATATACAATAATTAGTCGTCATAAATACAGTAAAATCAAAATATCTTGGCTAAAAACATCAGCTCAATCGGAAAAGACTTGACAATATAATTTTATCAGAAACGCTGTGAGAATAATAAAAAGAAATCAACTTAATTAAAAATACACTGAAAAAAAAATATCAACTGAATCAGAAATACCATGAAAAGCAAAATAAAAAAATTTGAAATACCTTGAGAATATGAATAACGTTAGAAAAAAATGAGAATAAAAATATCAACCTAATCAGAAATACACTGAAAAAAAAATTATTAGCAATACCTTGAGAGAAAAAAAAATTAACTTGGTTGAAATACTAGAAAATAAAAATGTCAAACCATGGTACTCTTTTATCTGTAGTCTCATCACACAACCTTAAGTCATGTTGAATGACACATTTCATGCTAGTGCTACTGCTAGTCACATATTTTGTTATATCTATAAGTGAACATGCCAGACATTTTGTTAAAAGCAATGGCAGAAAAAAAAAAGAAGAAGAAGAAGAAGAAGAGGAGGGGGAGGAGGTGGAATGAGAGGAGGAGAAGGAAGGAAAAGAAGATGACAAAGATGAAGAAGAAGAAGAAGAAGAAGAAGAAGAAGAAGAAGAAGAAGAAGAAGAAGAAGAAGAAGAAGAAGAAGAAGAAGAAGAAGAAGAAGAAGAAGTAGAAAAAGAAGAAGAAGAAGAAGAAGAAGAAGAAGAAGAAGAAGAAGAAGAAGAAGAAGAAGAAGAAGAAGAAGAAGAAGAAGAAGAAGAAGAAGAAGAAGAAGAAGGATGAGGAGGAGGAGGAAAAAAGAAAAATGAGAAAAGAAGAAGAAGAAGAAAAAAAAAAGAAGAAGAAGAAAGAGAAGGTGGAGGAGGCCAAGGAGAAAGTTTAATTTTAAAAGGCTGACATGTAAAACCCATTAAAATAGAATGTTCACAATTTCTTACCCGATGATTAAAACGTAAATTCGTCATTTCTAATTTCCACACAAAAAAAACTGATCACAATGTTGACTGATAGATTAATTATAAATTCATTTACTCAGTTCTTTTCTTGAACCTTATTTTAGGATGTATAAAACGATATGTCAATATTTCTGATGAACTACTCTAAATTGAAGAACTAAACCTATAATTCTAAATTCAGCTGGTACGTAACAATTTAACACACATTTTTTATTTCTACAGTGGGGTTTCGTGGCTAAGAGGCTAGCAAATGAGTACAATCATACAATCTGAGTATTCACATAATCTTAGCTTTCACACAATATAGTATTCACACAATCTAAGTATTGACATAATCTAAGTATTCACACAATTTAAGTATTCATACAATCTAAGTATTCATGTAATCTACGCATTTACACAGTTTAAGTATTCACATAATCTAAGTATTCACACAATTTAAGTATTCATACAATCTAAGTATTCATGTAATCTACGTATTTACACAGTTTAAGTATTCACATAATCTAAGTATTCACACAATCTAAATATTCAGATAATCTAAGTATTACCATAATCTGTCTAAGTCTTCAAGTATTCATACAATCTAAGTATTCATGTAATCTAAGTATTTACACAGTTTAAGTATTCACACAATCTAAGTATTCATGCAATATAAGTATTCACAGTCTAGGTATTCACACAATCTAATTATTCACACAAACTAAGTATTTACACAATATAAATATTCACACAATCTAAGTATTCACACAATTTAGGAATTCATGTAATCTAAGTAATCACACAGTTTAAGTATTCACACAGTCTAAGTATTCACACAGTCTAAGTATTCACACAGTCTAAGTATTCTCACAGTCAAAGTATTCACACAATCTGAGTATCCACAGAATCTAAGTATTCACACAGTCTGAGTATTCACACAGTCTAAGTATTCACACAGTCAAAGTATTCACACAATCTGAGTATCCACAGAATCTAAGTATTCACAGAATCTAAGTATTCACACAGTACAACCCTAAACAACATACACTGCTGTCTCAAAACAGAGAACAGCCCAGCAGAACTAGATAAGAACAGAGTCCACGTTTTGAATCATTTTTTTATTCTCTTAAAACACACAGCCATAAAAGCCCACATTTAGCAAAGTAATAATGCAGCACAGCCCAAACAGAACTGAAGGTTCAACAGCCCTGAGACAAAAGATATCTCTCCTGATTAGAACAGGAAGGCAGTGGCAGACCACATAAAGGCAAGTCTGTTAAATGCAAAACTGCTGATAGGATTGCTGAAACAAGGACCCTTTTCAAGCTTTTGGGACATCATAGTTGTAGTGCTAAACATATATTTTTTTAAGACCAATCGGCTTTCAAAGGGTGTTGTGGTCAAACTAATTCGACCGCCTTTACTTCCCATGACTTTACCTGGTATATATTGTAGACTGAATCTACCAGGGAGCCAAAGTCAATCCTGGAGGGAAAAATCCACCTCAATGCAGATTTGAACCCTACACCCTTGGATCAGCAGTTCAGCATCCAGGATTATTGTAGCTAATAGCTACATTCTTGAAGCTAAAGTTAAACTTCACCAATTCAAACAGAAGAGGTAAGTTTACAGTAGGTTACAATAAAACAGCTTCATACTTTAGTTTACAATTCTCCCTTCTGTCTTTTATCTCCCAACGGAGCATCAGGACTCAATCCTAATCAAGCCTAATAAGGCTTGTTCTTTATTAACTGGATGTTTTCAGGGGTTAAGAATTGGGCACATAGGCCTGTCTAACATTTTGTCCTTCTGGCCCCATTTCTGTCATACACTATTTCATTCACGTATCATTTAATACGTAATAAAACATCATGGACAACAACTAAATATTAATAAAAACGCAGGAATGCACTTGAATTATACTGACAGTTCGAAACAAAAATATAATAATTATAATAAATCTAGGGGCAATATACCATATGCTTTTAGTAACACACTATTATCTTGTAAGGAGGCATGTTATCTGCAGTGAAATTATATTTATTTTATGGCTTTACTTTTTCCGTACCAGAGTTCGGGTAAAGCAGATATACAATAATGTACGAACCCCCCAAAAAAGTTAAGGGACAAGACAGTCTGACCCATGCCTACCCTCTAAGGGTCTTGAAAGTGGATACAGAGATATAAAAAATGAAAAAATCCTTGACTGACAGGGGATAGGAAAGATAATTCAACCAAGAAATTCTCTATAGACATGGGATAGAAGAGATCATGTCTAAAATCAAGAAATGTTTCTCTGAGTCTAAAAAGACAGAAAATTTATGGAAGAAAAGATGAAGAAAAGGGTAAGAAAAACAAAAAATATATATCAGCTATATCAGCAATTACACCAAACAAACAGAGGACATTGCAGTGATTAGCCTTCATCAGCAAAACAATGACAGGAAACATCACACACACACACACACACATATGCACACACACATATGCACACACACACACACATCCACAAAGACACACACACTGACACACATAAAGCCAAACTCACACACACATATACACAGATAAAGGCACAGTCACAGACTCAAACATATACTAACTCTGAAATGACTAGGATATTTACACCAAGAAGTCCTTCAAAGAAATGGGAGCGAAGATTTACTAAAACCAAGAAGTCCTTCCAGAAATGGGATAGAAGATCTACTAAAACCAAGAAGTCCTTTTGAGAAATGGGACAGAAGATCTACTAAAACCAAGAAGTCCTTCAAAGAAATAGGATAGAGAATCTACTAAAACAACGAAGTCATTCCAGAAATGGGATAAAAGATCTACTTAAACCAAGAAGTCCTTCCAGAAATGGGATAGAAGATCTACTAAAACCAAGAAGTCCTTCCAGAAATGGGATAAAAGATCTACTAAAACCAAGAAGTCCTTCCAGATAGGGGATAAAAGATCTAGTAAAACCAAGAAGTCCTTCAAAGAAATGGGATAGAAGATCTACTAAAACCAAGAAGTCCTTCAAAGAAATGGGATAGAAGATCTACTAAAACCAAGAAGTCCTTCAAAGAAATGGGAGAGAAGATATACTAAAACCAAGAAGTCCTTCCAGAAATGGGATAGAAGATCTACTAAAACCAAGAAGTCCTTTTGAGAAATGGGACAGAAGATCTACTAAAACCAAGAAGTCCTTCAAAGAAATAGGATAGAGAATCTACTAAAACAAAGAAGTCCTTCCAGAAATGGGATAAAAGATCTAGTAAAACCAAGAAGTCCTTCAAAGAAATGGGATAGAAGATCTACTAAAACCAAGAAGTCCTTCAAAGAAATGGGATAGAAGATCTACTAAAACCAAGAAGTCCTTCAAAGAAATGGGAGAGAAGATATACTAAAACCAAGAAGTCCTTCCAGAAATGGGATAGAAGATCTACTAAAACCAAGAAGTCCTTTTGAGAAATGGGACAGAAGATCTACTAAAACCAAGAAGTCCTTCAAAGAAATAGGATAGAGAATCTACTAAAACAAAGAAGTCCTTCCAGAAATGGGATAAAAGATCTACTTAAACCAAGAAGTCCTTCCAGAAATGGGATAGAAGATCTACTAAAACCAAGAAGTCCTTCCAGATAGGAGATAAAAGATCTAGTAAAACCAAGAAGTCCTTCAAAGAAATGGGATAGAAGATCTACTAAAACCAAGAAGTCCTTCAAAGAAATGGGATAGAAGATCTACTTAAACCAAGAAGTCCTTCAAAGAAATGGGATAGAAGATCTACTAAAACCAAGAAGACCTTCAAAGAAATGGGATAGAAGATCTACTAAAACCAAGAAATCAGAAATGACTTCAAAGATCACGCTGATAAATCAATAAAACAGTACAACAGCAGCTGCAGCAAGCTCTGAAGCACACTGAAAACTTGCAACAACAAACAGCTTCAGTTTAACTGTTCATTGTTTCAAGGGGTCACCTATTGAGTTTGTTATCTCAGTGATTCTCAAAATATAGAAAGCAGTCCTAGGAGTTCCCATTATAAATATTATCATCAAATGCT